CAAAATATTAAAAAGGATTACCTCATCTTTATAACCATGTGTGTTCATGCTGAAGTTAGAGTCAGCTTTAGTATACTCCCCATCACACACCCACACCCACATTCCTACCACTGAATGTGGGTGCTGGGAACCAAATTCTTGGCCTCTGCAAAAACAGCAAGCACTCTTAATCACTGAATCACCTCTTCAGCCTAACTCATCTTCCTTGATTGGGCAATATGCTGGATTCCAGTATATTTGTGAGGAGTCTGATAGCTGTTTGTATGTCCAGTGTGAATCTACACCCTCACAAAAAGATACTGAATACAACAAAAGAAAAGCCTAGTAAGTATTTAGAGGATCAAGTCCACTCTAACACTTTTAATCTTATCAGGTAAGTGGTAAAGTTTTTTGTTTTGTTTTTGTTTTTGTTTTTGTTTTTCGAGACAGGGTTTTTCTGTGTAGCCCTGGCTGTCCTGGAACTCACTCTGTAGACCAGGCTGGCCTCGAACTCAGAAATCCGCCTGCCTCTGCCTCCCAAGTGCTGGGATTAAAGGTGTGCGCCACCACTGCCCGGCAAGTATTTTTAAATGACTCATTAAATAACATTCAAAAAATTTTTTGCAATGGGAAGTAGGTAGACACCTAGTAAGATTTCTTACTACCTAAGTAGTACAGAGATTAGAAAAAAATGACCATTCTACCAAAAGTTATTTAGAGATTCATTGCAATTTCAATCAAAATTCTCCTCTCATTCCTAACAGAAATAGCAAAAACACTATCCTAAAATTCATGCAAACCACAAAAGACCCTAGGAGTAAGAACAATGCTGAGAAGGATGAACAATGCTGGCGGATTACAATGTTGGTGTAGATACATTACAGAGCCACAATAATAAGAACATTCTGGGACCAGAGTAAAACCAGACATACACACCAATCAAACAAAATCTAAGACCCCAACATGAGTTCATGGAGCTTCAACCACTTAATATTTGACAAAGACACCTAACACATACTTTGAAGAAAAGAAAGCAACTTTGGCAAATGGTGCTGGAAAAGCTGGATGTCTTCGAAGGAAATTGCAACCTTATACTCATATCTATCGCCTTGCAAAAACTGATTCCAAACTGGTCAAAGATGTAAACAGGAAACGTGGAACACTAAAACTGATAGAAGCAAACATATGCAGTAACCTACATAATAAAGGTGTAGGAAAGGACATTCTTACTAGGACTCCATTTGTCCAAAAATTAAGGTAAACAATTGACAAGTAGAACTTCATAAAGCTAAAAAGCTTCTACTCAGGTAAAGAAATAATCAACTGAGCGAAGAGGAAGCCTATAGAATGGAGAGAATGTCTGCTAGCTCTCTGATAAAGGATTAATATCCAGAACAGAAAAAGAAGTCAAAAAACAGAGTCAAAAAAAAAAAATGACCCATTTGAAAAATGGGCTAGGGACCTGAACAGGGAGTTCTCAAAAGAAGAAAAAAATAAATGGCTAAGAATGATCTTTAAAATTTTTTCATTATCACTTGTAATTAGGGAAACACAAACCAAAACAACTTTGAGTTTCTTGTTATCCCCGCCAGAATGGCAAAGATCAACAAAATAACTGATATCAAATTCTAGAAGAGATATGGGGAAAAGGACATCCTTATTACTCTTGGTAGGACTGCAAACTGGTACAGCTACTATGGAAATAGGTGTGGAAATTTCTTAAAAGAAATAAAAATAAGCTATGGGCTGGAGAGCTACCTCAATGCTTAAGAGCACTAACTCTTTCAGAAGACCCAGATTCCGTTCCCAGCTCCTACATGGCAGCTCACAGCTGCCTATAACTCCAGTTCAAGGGGACCTGATGCCCTTTTCTGACCTACACAGGAACCAAGCACCCAGATGGCAAATAGATTTATATGCAGGCAAACATTCACACAATAAAAATAAAGGTGTTTTTTAAATGAATGAATCTACCATATAACCTAGCAATATAACAACTCCTTGGCATATACCCAAAGAACTTGACATCATACTCCACAGATTCTTGCTTATCCATATTCACTGCTACCCTTGGTTGCCACCAAGAGGTGGAAAGTAAATCTCTATTGCTGAAGACAACATGCACCTCAGAGACAGGATGCACAGATCTCTAAGCTGGAACTGAACTGAACTGTCACTCTCTGAGGACTAGTACCTATGGTACCAGAAGGCACCATGCAAGCTTTCAAAGGAGGGAGGTAATTAACAGTCCTACCCAACTCTGACACCTATGACCCACATCAACAAACAGCATAGTATGATAACTTGAAGGGTGCAGTAGTGGCAAACATACCTTGATGATAAGCAATAGTTTTCTCATTGGCCTTAAGCAGTAGCCAGCAACTCTCTAATTAGACTTAAGTCCCACTTAACAAAAGGGAAACCACATCTAGTGCTAAAAATCTTGCTAACTACTCTGTGCTAATAAAGTCATGGTTATTGGAAGAAAATCTACAACCAGTATTTTTTATTAAACCAGCATATCTCTAACAATATTCTGTAAACATTTGGCCTTATATCCATATGTAAGTGTAGTCTTCACTCTCATCAAGGAAACTTCTCTTTGTAACAGACTGAGACCAACACAGAAAACTGCAACTGTCAAAATGCAAAGTTGTAGAGCCCAGTCCCAGTGGGTACATCTATAAAAACTCCCACACTTAAGGCTCAGGGAACATTTAAGAAGGAGAGTAGGTCTGAAGTTCTCTTTCTTTGTCGGGTCTTTGTGGGGTTTAGGTATTAGTGTAACTGTGGCTTCATAGAACGAATTGGGTAGTGTTCCTTCTGTTTCTATTTTGTGGAATAGTTTGAAGAGAATTGGTATTAGGTCTTCCTTGAAAGTCTGATAGAATTCTGCACTAAAACCATCTGGTCCTGGGCTTTTTTTGGTGGGGAGACTTTTAATGACTGCTGCTGTTTCCTTAGAGGTTATGGGACTGTTTAGATGGTTTATCTGCTCCTGATTTAACTTTGGTATCTGGTATCTGTCTAGGAAGTTGTCCATTTCATCCAGGTTTTCCAGTTTTGTTGAGTATAGGCCTTTGTAGTAGGATCTGATGATTTTTTGAATTTCTTCAGTTTCTGTTGTTATGTCTCCCTTTTCAGTTCTGATTTTATTAATTTGGATACTGTCTCTGTGCCCTCTGGTTAATCTGGCTAACGGTTTATCTATCTTGTTGATTTTCTCGAAGAACCAGCTCCTGGTTTTGTTGATATTTTGTATTGTTCTTTCTGTTTCTATTTGGTTGATTTCAGCCCTGAGTTTGATTATTTCCTGCCTTCTACACCTCTTGGGTGTATTTGCTTCTTTTTGTTCTAGAGGTTTTAGTTGTGCAGTCAAGTTGTTAGTGTGTGTTCTCTCCAGTTTCTTTTTGTAGGGACTTAGAGCTATGAGTTTTCCTCTTAGCACTGCCTCCATGGAGTCCCACAAGTTTTGGTATGATGTGTCCTCATTTTCATTGAATTCTAAAACGTATTTAATTTCTTTCTTTATTTCTTCCTTGACCAAGTCATCATTGAGTAGAGAGTTGTTCACTTTCCATGTGCATGTGGGTTTTCCATTGGTTTTGTCATTATTAAAGACCAGTCTAAGTCCGTGGTGATCTGATAAGATGCATGGGATTATTTCAATCATTTTCTATCTGTAGAGGCCTGTTTTCAGACCAATTATATGGTCTATTTTGGAGAAGGTACCATGAGGTGCTTCAGATCAATCTCTCTTATGAATATCGATGCAAAAATACTCAATAAAATTCTAGCAAACCGAATCCAAGAACACATCAAAACAATCACCCATCATGGTCAAGTAGATTTTATCCTAGGAATGCAGGGATGGTTCAATATCCGGAAATCCATCAATGTAATCCACTATATAAACAAACTCAAAGAAAAAAAACCACATGATCATCTCACTAGATGCTGAGAAAGCATTTGACAAAATTCAACATCCCTTCATGAGAAAAGTCTTGGCAAGATCAGGAATTCAAGGCCCCTACCTAAACATAGTAAAAGCAATTTACAGCAAACCAGTAGCCAACATCAAGCTAAAGGGAGAGAAACTTGAAGCAATCCCACTAAGATCAGGGACTAGACAAGGCTGCCCACTCTCTCCCTACCTATTCAATATAGTACTGGAAGTCCTAGCCAGAGCAATTAGACAACAAAAAGAAGTCGAAGGGATACAAATAGGAAAGGAAGAAGTCAAAATATCACTATTTGCAGATGATATGATAGTATACTTAAGTGACCCCCAAACTTCCACCAGAGAACTCCTAAACCTGATAAACAACTTCAGCAAAGTGGATGGTTATAAAATCAACTCAAACAAATCAGTAGCCTTCCTCTACATTAAAGATAAACAGACTGAAAAAGAAATTATGGAAATGACACCCTTCACAATAGTTGCAAATAATATAAAATACCTTGGTGTGAATCTAACCAAGCAAGTGAAAGAACTGTATGACAAGAACTTCAAGTCCCTGAAGAAAGAAGGCACCAGGGAAGGGAGTTAGGAACAAAAGAGGGAAATGAGAGGCTGAGTATGAACAAAGTACAGAAAACATATTGAACATGTTCTAGGAAAATGCCATGAAGAGTGCTATCAATTTCTACAATGAATAGAAGAAAGAAGAAAAAGAAAAGAAAAAATAAGTAAGTAGTATCTTTTGTTGCTCTCAAGAGACTGTCTCAAACACAGTGGAATCCACTTACTATCTGGGCTCTGAGTCACCCCAACACTCCTTTTTCACTCCTGGATAGAGTATCCTATCTTGTAAGGACTCAAAAATAGTGATTTTTTTTTTCAAAAAAGAAAAATATATTTAAAATATAAATTACTTTTGTGCAGCTTCAATTTCTTTAAATCAGGAATAAATGAACTTTAATAGTGCACGACATTCTGAAAATCACATAGCTATTAAGTGAATAAGCACATTTCAGACATCAAAAACTTGCCTCATTTCACCAACTTGAGTATTCCTTACCTCTTCATCGTCTTCCTCGTCTTCCACATCCAGAATTCCTGAATCCTGTTCAGACTTTGGGCTTGTGCTCTCCACCTCTGCATCAAAGATTGTATATACATCTTTTTTAGATTTTCTCTTGCTACCTATTCTAGGCTGTTGCAAGACAATGTTATCCAGGTTTCTTTGCTGCTGGGCCTAGGATATAAAGAAAATACAGAAAATAATGAAAAATAGAAGAAAAGATCTCCAAGTTTCCAATAAACTAATTTTGAGCAAATCATTATCTGTAATTATAGGGAAAGAAGGATTTCTTAATATATAAACTTTTAAACCTAAGTAAAATTAAACATAGTAATGTATACATGTTGTTTGGAATAGAGTCTTGTGTAGCCCAAGCTGGCTTCAAATTTGCTATGGCATGTAGGAATGACTTGAATCCTAATTCTCCTATCTCCACTTCCAAGTGCTGAGATTCCAGGTCTACACCTGCAAATTTGGTTTAATATACACTTCTTTGCCCTGAAGCCATCCTGTATTAGCTCTTTTCAAAGTCAATACAGAAAAGAGATAATTCACTGATATTATCACAGGTCTTTTTAAGAATTTGCTAAACAAACAGTAACAATTCTACCCATCCCAAATTCGCCTACATAGCCAAGAGTGTGGTACAGATGTCTAGTGGTTATCTCTTACAAAGGAAAGCAATATTGAAACAAAAATGATAGAAGATGGGACAGCTACTTGGAATTAACTGTGATCAATTTAAGTATAGGAGATTTTTTTAAAAACCAGATTTTTTAATATGAAACCAATAAAATATAATCAAGATAATAAGTTATCTTAACACATATTTTCTTCGGAAGTATTCTGGACTAGCAAAGATAGCCTATGGGAAGGGATTTTAAAGGACTTACTCTTCAGATTTTAAAATACACTACCTAGCAAAATTAATTAAGAGAATGCCCTATCCAGAGTCAACAATAAAATCTCTAGCCACAAAGTGCAGCTACAAGTTAACTTAGTCACTCTCAGAAGATTGAGGCTATAATACAAAGGGTTTGTTCCAAGTCACAACACCAATGAGCAATAAGTAGAAGCTCAAAGTATGATCTCCTAAGTTATAGACAGTCATCCTTCACTATACTAACAGCCCAAGAACTGGGCAAATATTTTCCAAATTAAGGGTTCTGTGGCCATATCAACAGACATAATGCATTTTGTATATCCTTGAGAAGCAGAGACAGGAGATCACTGGAGCTATATGGCAAGTGAGATTACCCAAGTCAGCAAGCTCTAGGTTCAAGTGAGAAACTCTGATTCAATAAATGCAGTGGAGAATAATCAAGGAAGAAACCCAACATCAGTGAAGGGCCTCCACTGGCACATGTAAACATACATACATATCACATGTGAAAAAAAGTAAAAGAGAAAGAAAAAAACTGGTAATGACACTGTCCTTAAGAAACTTGGGTAGCTAGGTGGTGGTGGCATATGCCTTTTTTTTTTTTCAGTACTTGGAGGCAGGGGCAAACAGGTCTCTGTGAGTTCAAAGTCAGCCTTGTCTATAAAGCAAGTTTCAGGACCGCCAGGTCTACACAGAGAAACTTGGAGAGACAGAGAAAGAGATGATAGAGGTAGAGACAGAGACAGAAGAAGGGAGAGAAGGAGGGGAAGAGGCAGAGGGGAAGATGCAAGAAAGGAGGAGAAAGAAGAGGAGGAGAAAAAGAAACAATAACAACTTGGATAATCTGTTTAAGCCCATAATGTTCCAGAAACATTTCTCCATGAAACTTAAGCCTATCTGTACCATGCCAAGGTGCAAGATTTGAGCTCATGACTTCCTATAAATCAATATATTTCTCTTCAGTGCCATGATGAAATTAGTTCATGAGAAAATAAGTGTCACTGAATCTAAATGAGATTAATGAATTCAAGACAAATCTTCATATTAGAAGTTAGTTAAGGCACTGGTCAAATGGAACAACTATAACAGGCCAGAAAAACTTGAACTATGTGAGCTAGTTTCAACCAAAACAAAGTAAAAAAAGAATCTACATTCCAGAGATTTGAATCAATGCACAAACTTGTTTCTCTGCATATTATCCATTGACATTCTGGGTTCACTTACATCAAATCCATGGCTTCAGTAACAAACTAAGCTAGAGCGAGCATTCACAAACAATTCAGGTCTATACAAAAGACAAGCATTCATGATCTCCGGTTAAGTACAGCATTCTTTGTACACCTCTCAGTGAAACAGCACTGCACCTACTGCAGACCACACACCAAGGACCAATGACTCAGGAGGCAAAAGGAATCAGGATCTCCCACGCTTTCCTATTCCAAAAAGCAGATTTTCAATTGCAACGTGACTGCTTGTTCCCTTCTTTTTCTACTTTCTTTCAGAACACCAAAGCCAAAGATGCTCATAAGTATGTCTTGGCATCAAATCCCAAGCAAATTAGTGTTCTTTCACAATCAAACACTGCCAGCTTAGCAGAAGCAATCCAGAGGAGTCACATTAGATATTAACATTGACATAAGACCATACAAATCAAAAAAATACCTAGGGAAGTAACTCTAGGTTTTCTATCAATTTTTATAGATTATACAAATTATATAGATTCATATTTTATAATTTTATAAGATTTTATTTTGGTTTTGTTTTGAGTGTTGTTGTTTCTATTGTTGACATATAGTTTTTCTACCAACTTTTCTACCAATTTCTACTACAAGGCAGTCTGGGCCATTCACTATGCTGAAGTAGTAAGCCCTTGTCTAGAAGTCACCGGGCTTTGTGTTGTATTCTAAAGCCCTGGAGTCTGTGCTCAAGCAATCACAACTTCTCCACATCTGTAAAGGGTTTACCACAAAAACAAGCCCAGGTGAAAACACCAAATTTCATGAGAAACAATCACATAAATACTCAGATATTACCATTATGGATATCCATTCAAATCATTATCCTTCAAAATAAGAAATGAGAAGGAGATGGCACTGTGAGAAAAGGAGTACAAACCACAGAGTAGTAGTGAGCCCTGAACACTCGTGTGTTCACTTCCTTCCTGGTCATTCTTTCAGGAAAAAGTTTCATTTACTTTATCATTCATATCTATTCTTCTTTGAGAATTTCTCAATTTCTATTCTCTTTTACTGTTCCATGACCCAGAAGCACATCTCCACTTTCATATATGTTTGGTATTTTCTGGTATCATGTTGAGTCCAACATAAGGCAACTCGTCACCTCTACCACCAAGTGTTCCTGCTCACTGTATATGTAGACTTCTTCATGCAAATTAAGAGTGAAGAGTAAAGACGTACAGGACCAAACTTCAAAAACTACTTACTTATATTCTACATAAGAGAAGTATCAGTAGTCCCTTCAACTTGAGTCAGACCACATCCTAAAACACTGGAGTCATGTCTACTTGCAAATTCACATTATATTTCTACCTGATAATATGGCTGAAGCCCATGTTTCCTCCAAAACCCAAGCAAGTTTTCCCTATAGAAAGCCTTCTGTAACCAGGCATGGCAGCATGCCTATAATCACAGCACTTGGAAAATGAAAACAGGAGGACCGAAGTAAGTTCAAGGCTGGGCTAGGCTATGTAAGACTTTGTCTTTTAAAAAAAAAAAAATAAGTACAAGAGAAAGAACAATAATAGAAAGAGAGGAGGCCAGCTAAGGAGGGAAGAAGGAACAGAGGGAAACAAATGTCCCTTATATGTAACTCAAATGGTACTTTCTGTATTACTGCTTTCAATCAAACATGTATCCAATGCCTACTTGTATGCCATTTGAAATAATTACAATGCTGAAGATACAAAGGAGAAACAATGACGGAGAGTAAACAGAAAATTACAAGGTCAGCTTTGTAATACAGAGGATGGTCAACTATGGGCAAATAGACTAAAAGCAGGAAAAGTAACACAGATCATTGTAACAACCCAAATAAGAATTATGAGAACCAAGCATGATATCAATGCACACTGGAAAAGTGCATTTGTTGATGATCAATTGATTTGCTGATTTGCAAGCTGAACATGATAGAGAGGAAAAGAAATGGGAGAACAACTCAAAATATTCTGGCCTTGATAGCTAGACAATGAAGCTACCTTCAGGACAGAGACCATGAAAATTATGTGCTAAATGAAGAATCATTAAGGTGATATCATAAACTTGCTGGATATGCAGGTAAAAATGGCATAAAAACACTAAACAGTGCTTCTCAAATTGAAAATAAGAAATGCTTTCCCACTGTAGAACTCCCCAGTCCAGACACCTACCACACACAGTACAAGTGAGATACATGCTGACTACAAGAATGTAGTAGATGACAAACGGAGTCGGTATGAGACTGTGATCTAGCCCCTAAAATTAAAGGACAACCTACTAGAAAGTGGCAGGGGGTGTACACATAGCTATAGCATTACCTTATGTGAACTGTCACTGTCAACTGTCAGTGTACCTATGAAGCATCCTATGTAAATACTTAAGTAAAGGCTTCTTGTGGAATGCAAGTCTCAGCTCCCAAGACACCTTGCAATAAGATTCAAAGTTCAAAAGGAAGACTCAAAACCCAAAGGCACCTGCATTTATCAACACAATACTGACCTCTAGTGGTTCACAGTACACACAAATGACCTCAGAAATTATGTGAAAGGAGTGCAAAGGTTGAGTAATAAATGAAAAAAAGGGAGTAGGGGGGTTGGGATTTTTCAAATTTTTGTGATATAAGAAGTCTTAAGTCTAAACCTTAAGATTTACTGATTCCATGACCAAAAGCTTCTGCTGTAGTAGTCTCATCTAGTAACAACCAACAGTCAAACATACCTAGTAGTGCCAGCAAGATGGAACAAGATAGTGCAAATAGAAGACCTTGAACTGAAACAAGACAAAATATCCTAGCTACCTTCCTCTAAAAATGACAGGAACCTACACCACTGTCTACTGTGGAAGCATAAGCTTCCTAGCAATGTCAGATGCAGTCACTGGAGCACCTGTTGCTGTTTCACATTAGAACACCAGCACTACATCAGTACCAGCAGCAAGCACAATACATATACACAAGACACTACTACCAACCCTCTAAGTCTCATTCCTCATTCTGGCTTCATCGGAAATCTGGACTACAAATCCAGAAGAAAATGAGCATAACCTCAGAGACTCAGAAGACCTTCAACTGGCAACCG